CAAAAATCTGTACCTACTTCTAACATTGACAGACAAAACCAGCCAAACGAAACACCTTCGAAAAGAAATAAAACCGCTAGAGATATGTCTAGTCCAACATCTGGGCCTACCTCCAACGTTGACACTTCACATCAGCAAACGGAGACAAAATCCTCTAAAAGAAAGATTAATGCTAAAGATATTTTCATTCCAAAATCTCTACCAACTTCTAACGTAGATACATCAAACCATCCAACTGATACAAAATCTTCCAAAAGAAAAGTTACTGCTGCGGAAAATTTTCGTGCGAAACCTGGATTTACGCACGAAGGCCAAGACGATTTCATAGAAAACAATGGAATAGAAACTCCAATCAGCACAACAATTGAGGACAAAATAATTCACAAACAGACAGACACAAAACCAACAAAACAAAAAATCGCAGCTAAGGACATTTTGAATCGAAGCTCCAAACCAACCAACTCAACACAAGTCGAGATTAACAAAAATTTAAAAAATAAAAGCTCAAAACAAACAACGAGTCCAAGACCTCCACAAAGTAAGGCGCATGATGAAAACAGCGATGTGATACAACCTTCACACGGAGAAGGTACACTATTTGATAACGATACAGAAAATTCTGATGAATCGGAAGTGAATGACACCGAAGCCGAAATTTTAACTGAATTCAGCAAGAAATACGACGACAAACAAGATGATGTAGATTCCAACGAAGAAGACGATGAAGATAGTAGTGTTGGTAAGATAACGACAAACAATGAGGAATGTAACTCCGAAGTTCACAGTGAAGTCAACACAGATTCTGAGCATGAGATAGACTCAGAGGATGAAACTGATGACAAATTAGATAATGAATCCGACATAGATGATGAAAATAAAATATCAGAATCCGATGAAGAAAACGAGGAAACGAAAGACACAGATACAAACGTAGAAAGAAGAAGAAGCAGCAGAGTTCTTAAAGACGATGACGTAGACTCAAGCTCAGATGATGAAAATGTAGAAGAGACCCAGTCGTTGTCAGATGACGCAGAAGATGAAGACTCTAACACCAGCTCTGAAAAATCTGAAAATAATACAGATAAAGATTCTGACGAGGAGGAAGAGAATGTAGGCAACAATGTAAAACATCACCTAGGAGATATAATTCAAGTCGTTCAACCCGAATTGGTAGAAATACACGTTGACGCTGACATGCAAGAAGTCGGCAATATTAGCAACAAGCGGAGACGTAGCACTGCTGCTTCTCTGGAAGCACATCACACCAGCGAGCCTCAAACTGTCAAGGTTGATACTCAACCGTCGAGGAAAAACAGCGCGGAAATTGGCCACGTTAAAGAGATGATTGGGAGAAACGGCAAAGCTCATTTTAAAAGACCGAAACAGCCGAGGCGACTGGTGACTAAAAGAAAAGAGAACGGTTCTAAAACTGTAGTACCCGATACTTCTACAGTTTCAACAGAGAACAAACCAGTTTTAGAGGACAATAAAGCTGAAAACAGTTCTAATAAAAGAACAATTGAAGACGTGTCTACTGTATCTGATCCTAATCAAAGAAAAAAAGATAAAACCACTCAACCAAATAAAACAAGCAACGATTCTAATCAAATTAAAGATGTATCTGAAAGCTCAAGACCAAAATCACGAAAAACCAAACCAGCACAAGAATCAGTAGCGCCTGTACCTCTTGAAGAGACAGTATCTCCCGAAAATTCTGGAAATAGAGAAGAAGAAGAAAACGTAAATGAAAAACTCGAGGAAGACAAGCAATCAAGTGGAAGAGTCCAAGACATTATCTCTGCCTTAGATTCCATGCCTCCTGGTTTAATTCCAGAAACCATCTCTCAAGCAGACGGCACTGTTACACCTGGCGCAGACGACGACAGCACATCGGCCAAGGCTCGAATCCTGGCGAGAATGAAAAAAATCGGTCGCAGTAATATCGTGCTTCGAGAGACCAACGCTATTCACGATTCACCTGTACATGTCCCGCCTAAAAGAACCGACCCCGCGCCTACTCCAACTCAAGGATTTAACCACCCTATCACGACCCCACTCCCTCCATCACAATCAACCCCTCAAACCCAAGTTCCGGTGTCAATACCACAACATCAACAACAATCACCGCAGTCAAGTATCGAAGAACACGAATCCGAAATTGAATCCGATACGGAAGTCTTGAACATCAGCGCGAAAAGCGTCTTGGGAAGCTACGGAGACGAACTCGGGCGTTACCGGAAAGACAGACCAAGTCTTGTACCGATAGAAAGCGACGAGGAAAATTTCTCTTCCGGGTATTCGGATATTATAAATTTTAACATCACGAACCGGCAGATTCGGCCGGAACAGTTTAATATCCCCAACCTGCCGCAGGTGTATAACAGTAGCAGAAACCCTGCAGGGTTTGGTGGTCATGTCAAAAAACAAAACGATGACGTGTCTATTTTCGCCATCTCCACCGGAAGTTCCCATTCTAGTTCCGGTGACGTGGTGATCAACGTGGAAGACGTACAGGAGCCGGGGGGTGGGATGGAGGAGAGTGCAAAGGTCAGCGCCATCTGGGACAAAATGTCCAGGGACAAATGGAACTTAAAGGGGTCAAGTCATTAACTGATTAAATGGAATTACATCAAGCAAGGGGAAGAACATATTTTAAACAATTTAAACTAAATTATTAGCAGCAATGATAATATTGTTTTTATAGAGAGAATTTTGTTTTTGTATATCATTGATTTCCTGTTTCCCGTACATTTTTATGCATGTAAATATAAATAAAATATAAATAAAATTCTAAATTAAAATATGTTGTTGACTATTGTCATATCAGTGAGATCACTAATAAAATTTTGAAAGTTTTCTAAGCATTGATGTGTGTTGCTAAAAATTTCATAAATACAACTTGGCCTTTATCAGATTCCTAGTCTAGAATTGTTGATAGTCTAACTAAGATGTGTAGTGGTCTTGAAGAGGAATTTGTGCGGCAAGTTCGACCCCCCCTCCCCCCCCCCCATCCAAATTCCTTGATTGCGCACCTTAAATTAAAATCGGAACCCCTCCACACACACACTGACACAAACATATAAGGATAATCTAATTTTTTTTAAACTATTTTTTTTACAAAAAAAATAATTGGTTGTAATATTTTCACTGCTTAAGCAAGTTTTTGATTTTTTGAAAAAAATGGGTTGCCATTAATAGGAAGACAATCACTGGACATGCAGGTTGTTTGTTAACAAGCAATGATTCTCTCAGACTTTTTTCTACGGGCGGGGGGAGGGGGGCACTAAATATTTTGGAGGGGTGGGGACTAAATTTTCCGGGGTGGGGGGGGGGGGGGTGGACACTGGTTAAAGTATATATTCATATATTTTCAATAAAAAATGTATTTTGTTTGAGATGCTTGGAAGAAACACTGCTAACTAGCCTCATGTTTAAAACACATTTTTAATAATGTAACTTACATTCCATTTTATTTATTTAATATTATTTCTCAATGTTGGCTAACACTGTCATACTTGTAGGCATGGCAGGGCAAACATTGTTGATGTACAAGTCAAGTGCTAAAGTCAACAGCATTTAAACCCACACTGACTATTCAGATAGCACAGCTAAAATAGTGGATTTAAAAGCTACCTCTAACCCTCATGGCACGGGTAAATAATCCCGTCATTGAAAAAAGGTGAAACACAATTAAACCACTTAAGTCTTGGCACGTGAAAATTAGCTCTCGTAAAACTGACATTTACAATTAGGGTCTGTCGCGGTTTAAGATAAAAAAAAGGAGAACGAGTTGATAACGTTTACGGGTAAATTTTAGGCCTCGATTTTTGTTGGTCAAGCGTGGATGATATTTCACAGTAGACATGTAAAACGACCACATTTACTTTTAGAAATTTTTTTCCTCGTGACGACGGAGGGAGAAGGAGAGCACTTAAAACATTCGTCGGTAGGGGGACTCACTTAAATTCCAAGGGGTGGCGGATGGGGTGGGGGGGGGTATATATTTTCTATTTAAAATAGTCCGGGGGGGGGGGGTGGTAGCCAAAATGCCTGAAAGAAACTCTACAAGGGCTCGGTGTGAAATACGTGCTAACTAGTGAGACACCACATGTATTTGGCTCACGTGTTAAAAAGTGAGACTCAATCTAGTGGGTTCACCATACACCCATGAACCACTTCCGTCGTTTGCGTGTGAACACTGGTGCAAGAAAGAAAACCACAGTTGATGTTTCTGCAGCAGGCCTTCGTTGGAAATAACAACTTTTTAAGTTGCCTGGGTGTGTAAAACCAAAAAAAGAAAAATATCTTTATTCAATTAATTTATAATGAATTAGATGACACATGCTACACAAACGGTAAGCTCTTTAAACAACAGACCAAACGGAAAGGTAACATCACAGTTATACTCGAAGTGTCGGTGAAAGAAAGTGAAAAAATAGCACTGTACCTAGATAGAATATAAACTGTAAAAGGAAGAACATTATAAACTCAAGAACACGGTACAAAATAATACAAAAAGCATGCAAAACTTTACAATATTCTTAAAATTGATTTTAAAAAATGATTTTTCAAAATAAAAGTGATCAAAGTAAATGAGTTTAATGCGTAATTATATGTTAATATATATATATATATATATATATATATATATATATATATATATATATATATATATATATATATATATATATATATATAAGCAATGCAAATCTCTGGTAAACGCTTAGAATGCTTTTCAAAAATAGAGTTCAATACTAGAATAAAAATTCTCCAATTTTTTTGTAATCATTGCATTCACAAGTTTTTAATCTAAATGCTCATCAGTGCTGTAAACTAACGTGTCTCCTCGTTAAGCTTTACAACTGTTTACCTACTCTAAATCAGCCTCAAGTATTTTATTGCACCTTAATGGCGAGGGGGGTGGGTGGGAGTGGGGAAAGGGTAGTAAGGGAGTAATGCTAGACATCCCACAGATAGTTTTATTTCTTTCTGAGGACTCTATAAGTGAATTTTTATGTTACTTTTCAGTCGGAGATTTTTAAATCTGATCACTTAAGTGTCTTTTTATTTGGATATTTGAATTATTAAACAACAATAACATTAATTGGTAAGAGAATATTAAATACGTTTAATTAGTTATATATATATATATATATATATATATATATATATATATATATATATATATATATATATATATATCTTAATATACATGTTTATAGATATATTACAAAAATTGATGTCACCAATCAAATGTTCAGATCATTGAATTGAAAATCGAACGGTAATTCTAAACACCCAAAGAAGTGAGCTAATCCGGCTATTTAGAGTCAAAATAAAATCACTTCAGGCTTGTTGACACGAGACAAATATTTGTTTAACGATATTAAAGACTATGTGGAAGTGCAATTATCTCTAGTACCTCCGCCCTATTTTTACAAATATGGACCTCTCTGAATATTTCACAATCAATCACAAAGAACCGCCGATTGTATTGCTTTCCAATCTGGTTTTAATTGTATCGGCAATGGAGATATTCAAACAGATAATTAGCTAGGCCTGAACAGGAATCTTTACGTAAATCATTTCCGCATAACGGAAATGTGCCGTGTGACCTCAGACTACTATTCAAAACTTTGAATACAGAAAAAAAATAACTGTTTTATTACATCAAGATGAATAAAAAATATAAAAACTCACCAAAAAAAAAACAATAAAAAAAAACAACAATATGCTTAACCATTATTTAAAAATGAAAATGTCATCTTGTTTCAAAATCCCCACCCCTCCCCATCCCTTCCCGTCGGTAGGAGATAACAATCTGTATTAAAATGTATTTAACTGTAATTAATAATTAATTAAACTTGGGTCAAACATTATATTCTGATAAATTTTTTGAGGGAAAGGCTTGGTCTGTTTGGGAATGTATAGTTTCTAGACCGGAAATTCAAGTAGATCACGAGGGGATGGGTTCATGATGTGTGGGGGGAATTTATGATCATGGGTTCTTTTAGTGAGGACACATAGCCCTGTGTTTGTGTATGTGGGGTGGGGGTGGAGGTGTATGTTGATGGAGAGCAACCTTCAGGAGAGATCCGGGTAGGGGTATTTTATTTCTTTGTGAGCATCTATATTGTCTTCCGAGGCAACAAACAATCCACACACAGACACAAAAAGAGACACATAAAAACACTCATAGACACAAAAAACACACAAACACACACACACACACACACACACACACACACACACACACATATATATATATATATATATATATATATATATATATATATATATATATATATATATATATATATATATATATATATATATATATATATATATATATATATATATATATAACAGATTTTCGCCTCTAAATGCTGGCAATAATCGGGTCTACAAACTACTTGCGATAATGACAAACTTTCAGTGGACTTGGCAAACTAGACTAGTCCCATAAAAGCCCCATGTAATACAAGATACTAAATTTTGTCACATTTTGTTTTTCTTCCAGGCTTTTTTCTCTGGGGGTGCACCTGAAATTTTCTATATAAATTCTATTTCGTTCTTTGTCCGCCCCTCCCGAAAGGATGCCCGTTCCATAATCAGATTGCAAGTGGTCATTGTAAAAAAATTTACTACGCTCTTCGACTCCAATTTCATTATAATAATGTTGTTATAAAATGGTATTTGATTTATTTTATACTTTTGTCGACAAATGTCAATTTTATCAGTTGCCTAGGTCATGTCAGTAACAGACAAACACGGAGTCTACGCCATTTTGTGTGTCACTCTCGGTGCTGTTGGCTCGGTCTTTCATATCATTGGCCTCTCGACACCCACGTGGTCTGCGCTGGCTTATCTAGGTCAAAGAGGCTCGAAAGGATTGTGGGAATACTGTGTTGAAGAGGAGTGCAAATACTACGCAGTGAAAGATGGTAGGGTGAATTTATGTGAAGAGGTTAGACTAGGTGTGACAGTAATTTAGCATTGGCCGATTCTAGCCGGAAAAAGATACGCATGCACAATGGAGAGAAACGACGACTTTCCTTCGTGGCCTATCCCTAACCACAACCCTAACCCTAACCCTAACCCTAACCCTAGCTCTAACCCTAGCTCTAACCCTAGCCTTAGCCCTAGCCCTAGCCCTAGCCCTAGCCCTAGCCCTAGCCCTAGCCCTAGCCCTAGCCCTAGCCCTAGCCCTAGCCCTAGCCCTAGCCCTAGCCCTAGCCCTAGCCCTAGCCCTAGCCCTAGCCCTAGCCCTAGCCCTAGTCCTACAATATATAAAATAATTACAAAAATCAATTTGGAGCAGGGAAGGAATGATGGGTGGGGGTTGTTCGGTTTTATGCACGTGTAAGTTCTGTGTTTTTTAATCGACGTGTTACGATATAGAGTTATCACCATTGAATGTGATGTTGTTTGCTATATGAAGGGGGGGGGGGGGTGGAAGGGGGGGGGGCTAATTATAACACCAGATGTTATCCGACCTAGTGACGACAAAGTTAAGAACGGTGCTTCATTTTCCTTCAGTCAGTTTAAAAGTGTGTGAGGCCTTCTCTATTCTGGGCATGTTAAGAACCAATTTTAATTAAGTTTTGTCTGTAGACAGTTTAAAAGTGTGTGACAATTCTCTATTCTGGGCAGGTTAAGAACCAAATTTAATTGTGTTTTGTCTGTAGACAGTTTAAAAGTGTGTGAGGCCTTCTCCATTCTGGGCATGCTGGCCAGTTTTTTGGCCGTGACGGTCTCAGTGTGCCAGGTGTACTGGGCGGTTCTAGACATACAACAGAAGAAACGGTACCACTACATAGCTTCGTCTGCCTGCTTTCTGGCGTGTGAGTATACTGGTCTGTGTGGGTTTGTGTGGGTATGTGTGTGTCTGTGGGGGGGGGGGGGTGGGAGTCAGTGGGGATCTGTGATAGGGGGTCTGGGAGGTGTTTTTGGTTCTGAGTTGGTCTGTGTGGGTTTGTGTGGGTAAGTGAAGGTCTGTGGGGATTTCCGGGGGCCTTTGGAGGTAGGTGTGGTTCTGTGTGGTTCTGTGTGTGTCTTTGAGTGTGTCGGGTCCTTCATGGGTTTCTGGGGATCTGTGCGGGTATGAGTACCTGTGTCTGTGTGGTTCTGTGTGGTTTTGTGTGGGTTTGTGTGGGTATGTGAGGGTCTGTGGGGATTAGTGGGGGTCTTTGGAGGTAGGTGTGGTTCTGTGTGGTTCTGTGTGTGTCTTTATGAGTATGCCGGGTCTTTTGTGGGTTTCTGGGGATCTGTGTGGGTATGAGTATCTGTGTCTGTGTGGTTCTGTGTGGTTTTGTGTGGGTTTGTGTGGGTATGTGAGGGTCTGTGGAGATTAGTGGGGGTTTTTGGAGGTAGGGGTGGTTCTGTGTGGTTTTGTGTGTGTCTGTGAGTCTGTCGGGTCCTTCGTGGGTTTCTGGGGATCTGTGTGGGTATGAGTATCTGTGTCTGTGTTGGTCTTTGTGAATCTGTATGCATCTTTGTTTGTCTTGTGGGAGTCTGTTGGGGTCTGTGTGGTTCTGTGTGTGAGTCTCTGTGTCTTTGTGAGTCTATGTGGGTCTGTGTGGGGCTGAGTCTTTGTTTCTGTGTAGAAAAGAGTGTTTGAAAATCTGTATTTCTCTGCGTATGTGTGAGCGAACGTATATGTGTGTATTCATGTGTAGGTGTGTGTTGATGTGTTTGGGTGTGTTGATGTGTTTTTGTGCGTTCATGTGTGTGTACGTTTTTGCGTGTAAATGCGTCTTTCAATATGATCTGTTTGTCCCTTTGTGTGTGTCGGTGTCTGTCTATTTATGTCTGTGTAGAAGTGTTCATGCATGTACATGTGTGTGAGAAACCTATTTTCAATTAGACATTTACTTACTATGTGCGTGTATTCACTTTATGCTATGACCAAGATTTTGAACTAGATACGAAATTGTGAAATTAATTGTTTACGATTAGAATAGGCGATAATCATGCTTAAATTATTGAATGTCCTTTAAACACCATAGTAATTAAATCGTTTTTAATATTTTGCTTCATTAAGCGATACTGTCAAACCAATCATACTAACACGACAAACACTAACTCTGAGTCTTTATTCCTTATTCCTAACATTTAGGTAACTCTTGAATCCCTGATCTAAACAATTCCACGAACATTAAATATCCATAGAATAACTGTGGAATTATAGCTTCTTTTTAAAAAAAATAGGGCCAAGTTAAGAGAAGTGGTTTTGTTTTTATCTTAAGCACCGGTAACTCAAACCTAACTATTGAGGCATTTAGTAAAGAACATTCGACAACAGGAAACGCGTTATTCGAGTGTCATGGAAAACCTTCACAGTCGCTTTTTTTTCTTGTTTTTTTTTTCGTTTTTTATCCTGCTTTATATCTCGCATAATTCCAGACTTTTTGTGTCTACCCCCCCCCCCCTCCACCACCACCCCCCCCCCCCCACCAAAAATAAAAAGGAAAGGTTATGTTAGGTTCGGTTTTCCTGTCGTCACTCCTGGGACATAGGCCGCTGACAAGAGCTTTCCAGGCGTCTCTGTCCCCCTCCCCCCTTAAATAAAAAAAGGAATAAACAAATAAATAAAATAAAAATCTCGGAATTCTGTTTCTTTCTAAATACTAATTAACGTTGAATTTAAGTTTTATTTCTGATTATTTCCTTTCCCCTTTTATTTTTGTCACACTACCTTGTCTCTACTTTCATAACATTTCGACGTTTTTTTTTCCCAACATTTAAATTCTATTTTTATAATCCACTACCTTTTCAACATTCAAGTTGTATTTTTAAAATTATTTCACTACGTTAATACTTCAATTCTATTTTAAAAATAGTTATTCCACGTTTTACTTTCTCGTATATACGAAGTATAGAGAAAGTCTTGTAATCGTGCAAAAAAAAAAAATCGAGATTTTTACAAATCTCGACGTTTTACACCTCACTGATACGGAAAAACATAATTTTGCAATCTTGTCCGTATGTCTGTGTGTCTGTCTGTCGGTGTGTGTGTGTGTCTGTCTGTGTGTAAACATGATAACTTGAGTACTATTACAGCTAGGTTGATGAAATTTCATATATAAGTATTTTATCAAAATTGTAGATCCGTATCAACTTTTGAGCGATTTCCGATAACCGAAAGTGGTACTTTTTCTACTTTGAATTTTTCAAATGCCTATAACTTGAGTACTATTTAGGATAGATAAATGAAATTTTACATGTAAGTAAAAGATCTAATTCTCTACCTTCTATCAAATTTTGAGTAATTTCCGTTGACCGGAAGTACACATTTACGCTATTTCCTATTTCTCAAAAAAAAAAACTATAAAGAACTAATAATATTGTGCACTATTATGCACATTTTGTTTTGGCGTTCGCTTGGTGTGCAATTCTTTTTTCTATGAGGTTCTATTCTATTTTTAAAAGTTTAAGTAATTAAAAATCATGTCTATATTCCAAGTTATATAAGAATATTCGAGAAAGTTTTGGGGAGATCACTCCCGGTTTATTTAACATTAGGATTCAATTTTTTAAAATAATTGTTCCGTTACTTTTTTCATTCCAGTTTTATTTATTTTAATCTCCATTATTGTGTGGCGTGTAAAGATGCATGGGCCACTAACCGAGGAACACTACGAGATAGGCTACTCGTTCATCGTCAGTATAGTGGGCAGCATACTCATCGTCATCACTGGCTTCATACAGCTGGTCTCATACTAAACAATGTCTCAGCTAGGGAGGATCAATGGGTGGCACGCTGTAGATAATTGTGATAATAATAAACAATTGGTGGCACGCTGGAGATAACAGGACTTATACTAATCAATGAGTGGCACGCTGTATATAACTGTGCTTGTACTAAAAAATGGGTGGCACGCTGTATATATTTGTGCATGTACTAAACAATGGGTAGCACGCTTTAGAAAATGGTGCTTGTACTAAACAATAGTTGGCACGCTGCAGGTAATAGGGCTTGTACTAAACAATGGGTGACACGCTTTAGATAACTGTACTATTAGTAAACAGTGGGTAACTGTACTATAAATAAACAATGGGTGGCACGCTGCAGGTAATAGGGCTTGTACTAAACAATGGGTGACACGCTTTAGATAACTGTATTATTACTAAACAGTGGGTAACTGTACTATAAATAAACAATGGGTGGAACGCTGTAGGTAATAGGTCTTGTACTAAACAATAGGTGGCACGCTTTAGATAACTGTACGATTAGACAACAATGGTTGGCACGCTGAAAAATAAGACTGAATCGTACCGATAGTGGGTGGCACGCAAAAACATAACTTGGCTTGCTTTGAAAAGCGGCGGCACGCAATATTAAAATGTGTGATGGATTATTAGTAAACAAGTGATATGAGAACATAGTATGTGGGTCAAGGTCCCTCTATTATCTTCTACTGCGGAATATTTATGGATTAAAAAAATGCAAAGTCTTTAATGCAGAATTTTTTTTCTTTAGAGGAGAGAATGTATGAAAAATTTCACACATTTTTACATTTTTTTTTGTGGTAGAATTTAAAAAAAAAATACGAATCTAAAACATAATTTAGAATTTTATTTCTGATTTGCATGAGTTTAGGAAAGAATATATTGACAAGGCTTGACTTACATTTTTTATTTATCTATTCAAAACGTTTTATTCAATTGGTAACTTTATTTTGTTTCACGCTTAACACAATACAACTTTTTATTCTATGAGACATGTCATTTATAATAAATGTGTTTAATAAATTTAGAATAACTAACTGTGATACAGCCTCCACAACTATTACGTTATTGATTTGATGAGACTTGTATGAAATATATAACTTTCTAAACAATAACGTTATTGATTTGATCATACTTGTATTAAATATATAACTTTCACAACAATTACGTTATTGATTTGATCAGACTTGTATTAAATGTATAACTTTCTAAACAATTACGTTATTGATTTGATCATACTTGTATTAAATATATAACTTTCACAACTATTACGTTATTGATTTGATCAGATTTGTATATATTATATAACATAACTTTCTAAACAATTACGTTATTGATTTGATCATATTTGTATAAAATATATAACTTTCTAAACAATTACATAATTGATTTGATCAGATTTGTATAAAATATATATCTTCCACAACAATATGTTATTGCTTTGATTACATTTGTATAATATATGTGTAAGATCCTCAACAATTACGTTATTAAAATGCATGGGTTATCTTCACAACAAAGATTTGTTAAAAGTATAGTTGTAGTCCTATGTTGAATTCAATAGCCTATTTATAATTTTTATGTGCTGCTGGCTTTTAAATTGTACAAAATGTATTTTAGAATAGAATTATGCACAACAATAAATGCTTTTAATCGAAATTATATTTTAATATTTAAATTTTAACTGATTCAGTATTTTATTGTATGAAATACTGTAGAATATTTATTTTCCTGCACATGATTAGTTTACTTTCGGTTATAAATTATGATGAAGATCAAGCGTATTTGCCTTGAAATTAAGTTTATTCTAAAAACAACAGTACACCAAGAATAAAAACATAATCTAAGCAACTCTTGGTACAGATAACAGATTTACAGATAATTGCTAATACAGAAAATAATATTTTGTTAATTTTTTTGTCTGGCAAAAAAAAATAATATAAAATTTAATTAAATTTTTTTTTAAACACAACTGAGGTTTGTTTCAATCGCTACTCTGAAGGTATTTAAAATCATATTTCGGTTTGCCATGCTACTGCCACCGATTTGGCGTCGCTCATAG